AATTTTTAAGGGTAATGTCTTCGACTAGATACGATTTGTGATCTTTTGACGTATTTTTGAAAGAAATCGGTTCAGTGAGTGCTGAGAAATAGTGGCAACAGACAAAAAAAAAAAAAAACACATCATAGTAAAATTAATACCTTCTCAGCTTCGCATCGAAGCTAAAAAAAAAAATAAACACATCATGGTAAAATTAATACCTTCTCAGCTTCGCATCGAAGCTAAAATGTACTAAATTTTGAGCTACAATAGAAATAATTGTTTTAATACATTCAGTGCTATTGAATTATAATTCTATAGCATTTTATGTGTATGTCAGTAATTGTTTATTCACGCAATTCTGTTACAATTTCATTAAGTTTGCGATTTCATTGTCAATCAAATACTCAACCTTTATTTTATGGAAAACATTTAACTTAAAATAAACAATTTTTTTTATTTTTATTATTACTAAAATTTCTTGATTCTTTGAATAGTTATAATATAAAAATTCCCCTCTAGTAAAATAATTCTTAAATTATAACGATGTTTTAAGCAGTTTTAGATATAATTATTCAATTGGTTCTTAAATTGAAAAAATGAAAAATTCATTTTAAAACTAAACATTGTAATGTTGCAGAATTTATTTTAGTTTTCTTATTTTAAATCTTATCATTTAGCGGTGTGTGCATTAGGTTTAAAGTATTGATAGTTGTGTATGTGATAACCTCCACCAGTCAACAGGTCCGATATCTGTCATCTTATTGTCATCAGCTGACCGTACACTGTAACAATTTCTTGTATTTCCCCTCAATGACATTGTTCAAAGTTGGCACCACCACCACCACCCTGCGTCATAACCACTGGTAGCTACAGATACCATGACGACGGGACTTTTTCTCAGTTATACTATCGAGGCGACGAGTTAATTCATGTATACACATTTTTTCTATGGTGAAAATTATGTTTTTTTATTAAAATAAAACGATGAGTCGACTTGCCGTCACCCAGACTGTTCTTGTATTTTGTCCTCCGTTTTTTATGTAAAATAAAACGTCGATATTCGATGATGATGTGAGACCCAAACTATGGCCAATGGTGGGCCGCCACTTCAAGAAATCAATCAACAACAAGTATAAATAAAACTCCCTTTGTACCCCTTCATAATGTCTAAAAGCTCCTTCTTTATGTTCTTCTCCCTTCGCATTCTTCTTTTTTATGAATATATATATATATTCTTAAATGATATATGTATATAAATTTTAAATAATTAAAATTTTATTATATTATAAATGGCCTATGTTTCTTTTTTCTCCATACTTTTCCTTCATTTTTATAAACATTGGTTTTTTTTTTAATCAAATCCTAGTAACTCCGTCAACGAGTACTATTCTTGCTGGCTCGGCTACAAGATCACTCTCCAGT